GGGGGGGGGGAAAGGGGAGAAAGAATATTTTAAAAGCCACTCTTCTACTCTATTATTGTTAAATAGTAGTAAAATAGAAGAGATATTTTAATTGTACGAGGACAAGTCAATAAGTTCTTAGAAAATCTCTCAGTAGAGAGCACTCGCAGTGTCATGTCACATTACTTTTTGACAAGTAGCGCATCTTTCAGCTGATTACTGTAAAATTTTGCGCGGAATTCATCACGTGGTTTCATTTCTGTAGACGATTAAAGCGAATAACCTTTGTATTTTTTGCAAAATATAAAAAACCTAGTTTCGTCCAGTGATCAAACATCTACATATGAAAGGTTTAACACCGAAAGAAATCAAAGCCGAGTTGGATAATGTTCATAGCACATTTGCACCAGCGTTTGCGACTGTATACAATTGAGTGAATGAATTTAAATGTGGTCGTACATCCACATATGATGCACCTCGTTCGGGACGTCCAATTGAAGCTGCTATGCCAGAAATCATCGATAAAGTTCACGATATTGTTTTGACTAATCGACGAGTGAAAGTGCGCGAGCTTGTTGAGGCCACAGGCGCATATCACATGGCACAGTGATTTCAATTTTGCACGAACAATTGGATATGAAAAAGCTATCGACAAGATGGGTGCCGCGTTTGCTCACTGCAGTGGGGACTATAAGCGCGACCCCGGCATCGATGGCCAAATTCAACGAATTCCGCTACGAATTGCTTCCCCATCCAGTCTATTCGCCAGATTTAGCCCCCTGTGACTATTTCTTGTTTCCAAACCTGAAGAAATGATTCGGAGGAAAGAGATTCACCACCAGAGAGTAGCTCATCGCCGAAACAGAGGCTTATTTTGAAGGGTGGACAAATCATATTATTCAGACGGCTTGAAAAAGTTGGAGAATCATTGGATCAAGTATATCGAGCTGAAAGGAGACTATGTTGAGAAATAAAAATGAATCGATCAAAAAAAATGTGTTTTACTATGTTTTTCTAAAAACTTATTGACTTGCCTTCGAATAATTGATGCAAAATTAAATTTTAACAGATTCTTTAAAGTAAAAATGTATTTAAATGTTTATATAAGTATATAAATGCTATTATTGAAGTATATAAATTCTATCCTGCAATCTGTGTTTTCCAAATTTTATTTCGTAAAAATTTATATATTTATATACCTATGAGTTTTTCATTTTTATTACTTTTTTAAATTTTATTTGCGGTATTAATAATGTAATCATTTATAAATTTTATTTTTTGATAACTTACATCCCAGACATTCCTGTTGGAGCGTACGATTCAGCTAACAGATACTTCAGTTTCGAGATAGCTTCCCTATATGCCAGCTCCATATAATCCGCGGGTTTCCTCTTGCTTAAATCCAACTTTGAAGACCCATTTGTTTTTCTGCAAAATAATCGTTTCCCTCGCACAATTAATCAAATATTTCAGAATATTGCGGTAGATGAGCATCAACCTCCATTATACTCATCATGTTTCGTCAAAATCTGTCGACATAATCTTACAACAGATTGCTAGTAAAAACTGAGTAGAATTTATCATTTTGTAATCATTTAAATGGAATGCATTATTTAAATAATTACGAAATGGCACATCCCGCAGTCAATCTGTTATCATATATAATTCTGTTAGTAGATTCGGTTATATTTCTGGCATTTTTGCTAATAAAATTTGTAACAGACGTTTTGCAAAATCTATTTTCGTAGATTTGACCATCTGAGTATAACCAACCGTAATAATAAATATTTAAAATGTATAAATATATTTTAGACATTTATAATTTTATACAAGCACGTAATATACATTATACATACGTACGACATACATATATGTATATATGTATACACTCGACACCAAAATTAAAGCATGACCCCCCAAAACAGACAAATTTCAAGAAAGTGTATATAAGTATATAACTTTAAAAAAAAATAAGCGCAATAAATGAGCGTAATGTTCAAAAAAGCATTTTAAAACTAAAATCTCTACTTTTAAGATTGATAATTCATTAAACAATTTACTGATTTTTTCACAAAGCTATACGGATGCAAATCGATATGCATTAAATCTTAAAATTTTTTACGAAGTTCCCTGAATTAAAAATCGCACACAAACGCGGTTTTCAGCGTTCGAAAGTGTGAATCTTTATTTTTAATTTGCGCACTCGATAAGCATTATTATACGATCATCTTTTCATCGAGTTATCAATAATCAAGTAAAAAAGATCATTTTGCTTCAGTGTTGAAAAAAATCGCATAACGCTCATCGAGTGAGTAAATTAAAGATAAAGATTTACGCTTTTAAACGCTATAAACCGCATTTGTCTGCGATTTTTAATTTATAATTATTCAGAGAACTTTGCAATGTTTATAAAAAATTTTGAGATTTGATGTATCTCCATTTGTGCATCCGTATAGTTTTGAAAATCAATAAATCATTTAGTGAATTAACAATTTCAAAAATAGAGATTGTAAGATGTATAAAATTCGTTTTGGAACATTTTATTACAATTATTTTTTACAAAGTTACACTCTTTTGAAATTTTCTTATTTTTGGGAGTCAGAATAGGTTAAATGCTTTAATTTTGTTGTGAGTGTGTGTGTGTGTGTGTGTGTGTGGGTGTTTATAAATTTCAAACAAAAATAATCAGATTGAGAGAAGGCCAATACCGGTGATATAGCAGGATCTTGGTGCTTCTAATATTTCTATATAGTAATTTTACATACATATTCCAGTTTCAAAAATAATCAACTTTGAAAATTAAATATCCCTGGCATGAATTAAAAATTGCACACAAACGCGGTTTTCAGCGTTCAAAAGCGTGAATCTTTATTTTTAATTTGTGTACTCGATAAGCGTTATTATGCGAAGAAATTAAAATTATATATATGTACAGATATTTTATTATTAGGTATATAATTCCGTATGTTAAAATATTTAGTGCCGTTAGTAATATTTATCACGCAGACACGTACATAATAGAAGATGGTCTTCCTCTTTTAATAGACAAATTAAAAAATAAATTCCAACTTCACCTGTTCTTTAAGCGCTTCATACGTGCGATGCACGCTGGATCCGTGTAACTATAACTTATACCGGGTGATGTTTTCAATTTGGCGGTGATTCTCGGAGAAAATTTCGGACGTGTCGTACCCAGATTGCCGATGGTCGCGATGCTCGTCACGCTACCAGGTATGAAAGGGTGGCAATCGCGGCAACCGTAGGCACTGTTCGTCGCCAGCATTCTGATCGCGTTCTACCCTTTATCAAGCAACCCTTCGCTTCACCCTCTCAAGTACGCACGTCGTTCGGCCGACCGACCAATCGATGATACGTTTCTCCCCAGCCGCGCGCGGGAGAAGTCGACGAAGAAAATCGAACGGCGCTTTAATATAATTGTAACTGGAGGAGCCTGGTGGTGGATCGCGTGCGATGGTACCATCCGACCTTTATAGGCCCCTTGGCGGGGACAAGTGCATGGCACCGTACCACCACCGACATGTACGTACGCGCGGCGTTCCGTGACTTAAATTAACCCGAAGCATACTTCGATGATAAAGCATACCTTCGTGGATAACGATGAGACGAGAAGAGGGTGGTGGCTCGGCGAATGTGCTTGTGCTATCGCTTCCTGACATTATTTTCATGTCCCCCGCTGCATGGAGAATTCCTATGGAAACAGAATGATCAACAATGCAATTCGACGACGTTCGTGGGAACGAAAAGTTTTTGTTAAGAAACCATTTAGAACAGAACAATTATTTTTGTTGAAAAAGAATTATTAGGGACGTATGTATTAAACCAGAATCAGAATAATTGTTTATCGTAACCCTTTCTTTAGTCTTCTTTCTTTCTTTCTTCTTGCTTTAGTCTTTTTTTTCAAATTGAAATTATAAAACATATTAAAACTTGAAAGAATATAACTGAAGCTATAAAATAGATAGATTGGAGCTAGGGGGAAGGAATTCGATTGAGAGCTTGATCAAATTTTATTTACTTCTGATTTGCGATTTTCCCTTTGTTCCTTTTTTTTCAGTTATTATTAATTTGCAATTTCTGTTAGTTCAAATATTTTGTAATAAGAATTAACGAGAAAAATTATATAGAAAATTATACATTTTATTTTGTATATAGTTAATGAATTGTGAATTATGAGTTATATTTATCGTCATACAATACTATATGAACAAAATAGAAACCATGCGATTAGATTATTTATTATAAGGAAACTGTAATTTAGACAACTTTTTTATGGTCTTCCTTAGAAGATTAAGAAAATCTTTTTTTTTTTTTAATTTAATTTGAAAGTAAACTGTTTGAAAAAAATATTCCTAAAATTTTTAAATTTAAAGATTAGAATATCAAGCCAAGTTAAGAAGTCATTAATTAGAAAAAAAGAAATTAATAGATGCATAAAAAATAAGAAGCGAAGCGTCGTATTTCCGGAACGAATGTGCAAGAGAAGTTTAAGTAGCCTGCTTTTTTTATACTGTGAAAAAGTTTCAAACTATCAAATTTACTATCCTATATTTATTAATATAATAGCAGCACCATTTATAATACAATGGTTGCGTTCGGGGAGCGCGCGCGCAACTTGAATTTAAATAACTGAAGGAATAAGGAAACAAAGAAAGAACAATTTTAAGAAATAATACAAAAAACAAAATATAAAAAAACTTTTAAAGTTTCAAATAGCTCTAATAAAAATATGACTTCGGAGATAGTAAAAATAAAAGAAAAAATGCTCGAGTATATATATATTCTGAGCTCGACAATAATAGTAGAAAAGCATCAAGTGTTAAAAAAATAATTATTCTTTTTTATAATACGTAAAAAATATATAATTAAATATACACAAAAGATATTTTAAAATTTTTTCTTTATTTTCGTTGTTTTCTTCATAATTATTATATACTCGCGCCATGCCATGCCTTTTTATATGTAGGAAGAACACAGAATTATAATAACAAATAAAAAGTTACATAATTTTTAATAAAACAACAAAAGATATATAGAATAAAATAATTTTAAAAGATAATCGCAATAACAACTAAAAATAATAATAATAATAATAATAATTTAAATGGTTTCAATTTTCTCCATTGATTACAAAATTAAAATCGAAATCGGATCGCTATTACACCAGAGAGTTTATTATACTGTGAGTGTAACAAAATGTCAAAATGAAATACTATTTTAATCCGATATGAAAATATCTGATGGTCAATTTTAATCCCTGATTAATAACAGGTTCTTATAATACAAATTTATATAGTATGCAATACGAATTTATCTCTTAAAATTTTAATAAATTTTGAATAGAATAGAAAAAAGTTCTCTTGTACCTATTAATTGCGTCTTATATTAATTCTTGTTTCATGTTTTAACTCTAGAATAATTTATGACAATAACAATTTTTATCTACTAAAAATAAAAAAATATATAGAACAAGAGAAAAGAAAGTATAATAAAAAAAAACCAAGGATAAAATAATCGATTCAATATATAACTTTAAATTACTTTCCAAGCTTCTATGCTTTGCGTGACGAGGTGCAATACATGGACAAGTAAATGAGCGTACTTATACCTTTACAAAGTGCAGTATATAGATTCAACGTATTAACGTACGCGTATATATAGATTCAATTGTATTAAAGTTGAAAGAGCATATAACGACTAAACGTTTTTATATTCCATATGATTTCGAGGTGATTTCGAGATATAAACTGTATTGAAAATTTAAAATATTTAATTCAAAAATTGTTTACAATAATCTTATAATATATCGATCTGTTAACAGAACATAAAATAAACTCCAATAATATCATTAAAATATATTATAAATTGTAAATATCAACGATAATATCAACGATTTCAAGTAAAAAAAGTAGTAGTTTGCTTATTATATATCACATATCATAGCCTAAATACCACTTTTTCCTCTTAATAAATGTCTTTATATTCCATATTTTATGCTAGATATTTACAAACTATAAATCAACTACTTAATATTATTGTACGTTGGATTCAGATTGGTTTGAAGAGTTTCCGTCAATCGCATTTGGAGTTTCTATGAAACCTTCATCATCGTCGTTGCGTAATGTATCAAATACTAAAACAAATTTTCACATTTTTCGCATAGTTAAACATTGATTCAATTATAATTATTATCACATGTGTACATGTGACTAAAACAAATGCATTCTAAACATACCCGTAGTACGAGAGAACGGTTTAATGTATAAAATCATCAGTAAAGCAAATGCCGCAGATACGCCACAGACATATGTCAGAATGTCTCTGTAGTAATAACTAGCATAACCAGACGAAAAGTGTCTGAAAATCAAGCATAACATTAATGCTTCTTTGCTTCTTTGAATTTATAACTTTTCAAATAAGAATTCAATTCTTAGCTTCATATGTATGTATTAGATATTCTTACTAACTTCACGAGGTACTGAATCAGCATAACTACCAGACCGTTACTAAGCTTATCTGTAAAGCTCATTATTCCGTAGGCAAAAGCACCGCTCTCAGTATTTTTTCCTATTAGATCGGAAGTAACACCAAGACTGGTCACTAACATTATTGCACCAGCAGATCCTGCGAAACATTGCAAATTAAATTGGCAAGGCATTCTTAGATTTTCTAAATTTATAAGACTCTTTACACCATTTATTACTTCATATCTAATTTCATATATATGAATTACCTAGTAGCACAGCTACAGCATAGATCTGATATTTAATATACATGTTGCCATTGCCTAATTGTATCCATACACAGGCGCATATCGCGAGTACAGCACCAATGGAATAGGCGACTTTTCGACCCCATTTTGTATTGAGCTTCTCTATTATTAAAGACGTCAGAAAGCTACTTAGATACATTGTCAATGGTATGTAAGCCAAAGATGTAGCAGGCATATTCAATGACTCGTGTAAGTATAGAGGCATATAAATCTGGCATAAATTAATGAATAATCGTGTAAGCATGTAAACGCACGCTACTTGGTACAATCTGATATCTTTCAACAATACTGATGCTGTCCTGGTGTTTCTGTGCAAAAAGCTATCTAGAAAGATATTATCAAATTCGTTGTATACATGTGCACGTATATACATATACAAAACGTTTCGCTTAGACGTGTATAAAAAAAGAAAAATTCGTAACATGACAAAACTTTATGACAAAAGGTGGGCGCCAGTGTAAAGATCAACTTTGAAATTTATTATTAGACATGTAAAAAAACTCGAGATTTTTTTATCCGGTAAAATACGTAGTGTCGTAATAGTAAATGATGATAAATTCAGAAATGATAATTCCTTTTATTAAATGTCTAAGCCAAACATATATATATAATATTTAAAAAAAAAGCTGCATTCCATTACCATTAGCATCGCCATTAGCGCTTTCTTTAACAACAACATGAAATATAAAGGATGCTACTAATCCAGTTGCTATTCCAATTAGTACAACTTTCTGAAATTTGTAAATGTCACCGGGTCCAATCTGAGAATCATACTCATCGCTCGTTACATGTAGTACAGCCCACATGATGCAGTAGACAAGAACATTAGAAAAGACAGTAAATGTGAACCTATTTAATCAATCAAACGACAGGATTAAAAATTACACACAAAATACGCACGCATTATCGTCATTGAATAAATGTTGCACGCTACTTTTCTCTTCGATGACTCTTCTACTATTTATATACCTTATAGCTATGAGTTGCGTTCGCTCGTGCTCAGCAGGCGTAAGCTCCGGAACTAAGGCCAAATGCGATATTTGTACCGCCGCCCAACCAAATTGGAAAATCACTACAAAAGCGGCGTAATAAACTAGCTGTGCGTACTGATGCGCACCTTCACAGCCTATACATTGCGAGAATATGAAAGGGAATCCCAATAGTACGCAAATAGTACCTGCAAAGTAAATAATTATTGCAGCTAAACAGAAGATAATCCAGATCCAGTCGAAAGCAAATTTAAAAAAAATATTTACTACAAATCTTGTTGGGATATACTGGCAAATCAAGTAATAGAATCTGCTAACAAAATACAATACAATAGCAAATTTACTGCAGAATACTATGGCAGATTGGCAGATCAATTACATCTACATTAAACTCGTGTTCTGTTAATAGAGCCCGCCGACGTAAGCTGAGAGCAATAAATTAGCAATAGAAACGAAACAGAATCTGCTCACTTAATTCTTAACTCTGGATTGAAATCGATATCATTTAAATTTAAATGATATCCTATAGCTGTAAGCTGGTATTATAAAATGGTAGATTCTACCGATTGCAATCTGTTGTCTGAGATTATATATCGACAGGCTCTGCTGGCAAAACACAAGCTTAGTACAGCATCGACACACACACACAGTCGATGTTAATCTGCCATCTGCCACATCCTGCTTGCCGTTAGTGTACTGCCATTATATTTAATTTTATTTATTGCAACTTGACGAGATAATATAACAAGTCTGGACAAGCTAAGCGGATCGCAAATAAGAAGAAATGTAATGAAAATACCTAACAAGTGCCAGGTTTTCCGTCTGCCGTATCTGCACAACCAGAAGTCGTCGTTTCTGTCGGATTGAAAACCGACGAACGGAGTGACTAAGGCGTCGGCTATCTGACCGATGAGCAGCACAACGCCGGCCAGAGTCGGATCGAATCCGAGCACCAAGTGAAAGAACACCAACAGATACGTGAACCACATGGAAGCGCAGATGTCATTTAATACATGACCTGTGCCGTAGGCTAGTCTCAAGTGAAGAGGCAATTTCCGTATTATCTCCGCGTAATCGTCCGTCGAGCTGCTCGTGCCAGGCTCCATCGTCGTGCTGACAGCTGATCGTTACCGCGAGCATTAACAGTTGGCCTCTCTCTCTCGCTTATCCCGTTTTTACTCCCGATTTACGTTTCTCTCCTTTTCGGGGATGTGATCCCTCGCAGATGGGAGAGAAAGGGCGCTGGCAAACATACTTGTATAATGCAGACTTATGTGTCTGACTTAATTACTGAAAGGATGTGATCTCGCGGTGAGTCAAACATACCGTAAAAGTACGCACGTACGTAAATCCGGAGAACGGATGGGGATGAGGAACGCCGCCGCAGCACGGCGAGCTCTGTGTCACGTCACGCCAACGAAAATCGGCCTGTTTATCAAAGTCAAAGGTGTTCGAGATAGAGGAGGCATTCGGTTCAGTCCTAACCTGTCAAATCCTCTCCCCTGAGCGTCATGCTGCTGTACCGCTTTGTTACTCACCAATGACCTCATTACGGTTGACAGATACGAACTGCAGTCATGTGACTCATTCTCACATGAGCGCTGCGCGAATGGACACGGTGGTTGCATGTGACCACATGTGACCAAAGAATTGCGTTTCACAGCTATGTTCTTGTGATTAAAAAATCTTTTTTATTTCGTTTTAACATAAAAATGCATTACTCAGTTCAGATTTGTTAGACTAAGGCTGAAACTTGACGTAAAATCTCACCTTGCAAAGTGAGAGAACGATCGGATGAAATAATTTGCAAACGCGCAATAAGCTACGCAAATAAACCTCGAACAAACTATAAATTGTTCTCGGACAATCGAAAAAATATTAATAAACATTTTCTAATGCATTCCTTTTTTTCTCCAAGGTTTAAAAAAAACAAATTAACATGTAGCGCTTTATAATCTCACTTATATAATCAAAAGAAAAAATATCCATATCGTGTAGAGTCTAGATTAATTTATTAATTATATTAACAATCATATGTAACAATATAAGCAGAATTTTCACTTGTCGACTGAAACTGTATCACTACCGATGAATAAAACAAATCCTGACAGCATAGTAAGACCCTTGCGAATTACATAATCTCTTTCCCTCACATCTATTTTGTTTTTCTTTCAGCTCTACGTCGATATACATATATGCATAATACACATTGATACATGGAAATATGAATAATATACACATATGTGGCAAAAAAATACATCTGCGCACTTGTAAAAACACTTGGAAACACAGACGTCTCGTCCAGGTTACACCGTGTTTGTATAACAACTCTATTGTAGAATAACCCAATAATACGCAGCTTTAAAATTAAAACTTTAAAACGCGGATGTTTTCTAGATATACATTATTACAAGTCGGATGCACAGTAGCGTCACATTGCATAACATCCGTTTATTTTCGTTTATACGCTAAGGGACGATCTCGAATTGAGATAGAACTGATGGCCAGAGAAAAGGAAGGTGAGAACGTAGATGCACGCGGCAATCCAGCAGTTGTATGCATTCTGTGTGTAACCTCGGTCAACCTCTTTGTAGAACTCGCCTATTGAGGTGAAGTTACCTTTCTCTAACGGAAGGTCCTCCACCAACGCTACGCTTCGGACGTAGAAAAATATTCCCATGAAAAGCTGAAGATGAAAAAGATCTGATCAGCAAAATGTTAACTCCATAACTGCAGTTGTTATCAATAGACTTGATCATAATATTGCAGCAGACTGACAACTGCATCAGCATTAAGCTTGTACTCTGTCAACAGAACCCACCGACATGATCCAACAGCAGATTGCCAGAAATAGAAATCGAGCAGAATCTGTCATTTTGTAACCTGTATCACTACAAATATAGAATATATCATTTACGAAATGGCAGATTCAGTTGACCTGCAGTCGATCTGCCATCAAATTCTGTTAGCAGATTCTGTTGTATCTCTGCTAACACTCGTAACACGAAAATTTGTAGTAAACACTTTGCAAAATCGGTTTTCAACAAATTTGCTCTGGAGAGAGTTGACTTCGATATCCAGAAATTTTATCTCTAAATACGTAAATACATCTATAAGAGCGTAATCTCTTTCTTTCTCTTACCAGTTGGAATATGCCCCAAACGGACAACACTAAACCGCACAAGGCGTATTTGGGCCCGCAGATCTTCATCCTGATACGGTTCTGACACGAAGTGATCGAATTTAATTAAACTGCAATCCGTTCGTTGCTTTGCGCGAACCTTCGACGATCAATCGCGAATGTGAACGGAATGTCCTAAGCGCTGCATTCACCAATACTCTCGTCCGTCCTAATACTCCTAATCATCCACCGCGATGCGGCCGATCAGGCATCAGCCGATGAGGGTTTGTAATCATGTGACGTTCGACGATCTCGATAGGTTGCCTTCCTCGAGCGCTAGCGATATCGATAGATCGTACAATATGGCTCTTGACCATAGACATAAGTATAGATAGATCGAGCTAGAGTCCAAGATAATCAGAGAAGCGCGACCGGTGACGAGCCTGATTGGATCGTAACACCGGCCAATCATAGGATTGGTTCATCGATATTATAAATGGCTGCCGAATGAATAATTTTACATCAACCATTGTTATGATAAGTTAGAACATTTTATTTGCATATAATAATATATATTCACGTTCTAGTATAACACATAAATATTACTTTTTTAACTTTTTTTCTCATCGTTAAGAATATATTTTATAATCCGTCTGCAATTCGACGCCATTTTTAATATTTTTCTAGTACTTTTGCGATACTATAAGTAGGTCGCGCTTTTCTGATAATCTAGGCACAGTATAACCTGCAGTAGTCCATTTCGTGTCGGCGCCTTTGATCTCCTTTTCCAGATCACGTGAGCATCCACCATGTTAAATCCAGGATCGAATTGAGAAAAGTGCCTCTGCAAGTAATAAAACAGATAAGTAATAATATGGATTCGATATAGTAAATCAATAAATTCAATGTGTGAATCAAATAAAACGTTTCATCAGTAACAATTATTCGTAGGAGTGATCACTAAAGAAAATTTCTGATGTATTTGCTTATAAATTGTCTGCACATATGTATGTATGTACGTTCCTATCGTCTTACATTTCATTGGATCCAACTCAAAACAAAAGTTGCGCGGCGATACCTGCGCGAAGACTCAGTTTTTCGCTGAGTGGACCTACTGGTTATACTGTGGTATGGGCGGCACATGCGAGTGAGAGGAAACAACATATATGACACCCAGCGCTGATTGATGGAAAACGAATAGTGGAGGTAAATAGTAAGGGCGAATTCACACCGAATTGACAGAAAAGCGGAAAACAGAAAAGCAGAAGCCAATCAGAATTCGCGTTGGTAGTCAATAGTTGTTTTTGCTTTCTGCTTTTCTTGCTACCAGTGCGAGTTCTGCTTTTCTGTTTTCCGCTTTACCGTCAAGGTGTGAATTCACCCTCAGGATCCCTCTCAGGTCAAAGCCTTTGACTATATAATCATGGACCGCTGACGCCAACTTCACGTTGGTAGCCAAGATCTGTAGCGACACCGTGTGGCAAAGCGGTAGTTGGGAG